TTGTAACATTTTGTGATGAACACCATAAAATTGTTATTTCAGTATAGTTAAAAATATAGTTCAAAATATGCCTTTTAAAGAGTTTAAAAGAATGCATGTTAATATGTGTGAGTGCTTGTGTGTGTGTGTACACAGAGTTTAAGTATTTAAATATACAGCTCGGTTTCAGCGTAAGATAATGCCTGAATATGCAGCTATATTTTATTTTATGGTAATGTTCTAATGTGTGATAATTTTAACACCTTGTAGCTAAAGGTTTTTTAACCTCCCCTTCTGTGAATCACTGTTGGATGGTTTTCTCTAATACACATCCTAGTTCTAACTGTAAAAACGTTATAAATGTATGCTATTATATCTTTCCAAGAGTACTAGACGTATAGTCATGTTATACGTTGTTTGTGTTTTAGTTCTGTTTTAGCTGCACTTAAAATCCCTTTGCTGACACACACAGTCATGCTACTAAGAGACTTAGTGTCTGCAGAACACAGCAATAACCCCAGGTACACAGCAATGAATTATAATATCTCAAGAATCTCAAGGTATACTGCCTATCCTACATTTCCTACATATTTATGTATTATGTCACACAGAATAGTTTCAGATGGTCATAATATGTAATCAAAGACAAAGCAAATCCATGTGAATGCAAAATTAGCTTTGTATTGAAAATTTTACTAATTGGCTCTGTAGGAAAAATTATTTCCCCAATGACACATTGTAATATTTTGGTAAACAGCAGACTTCCTGGTTCCTTTAAAGGGACGCTATAGTGAGTGACCAAAGCAACTTTAGCTTAATGAAGCAGTTTTGGTGTATAGATCATACCTGTGATGTTTCACTGCTTGATTTACTGCCATTTAGGAGTTAAGTCAATTTTGTTTCTGTCCATGCAGCCCTAGCCACACCTCCCCTGTCACTGCCTGCATGAAAACAAAATGGTTTCATTTTAAATCAGATGTTATCTTACTGTAAAACAACTCCCATGATTTTTTGAATGAAATAGAGAGCCAGAGAATCATGGGAGATGTAGTTCAGCAACATCTGGAGGGCCAGAGTTTAGAGAACCTTTTAGCTATCTCTACGCTGATGGCAATATAATCATGCAAAGAGGATTGTCACAGCGCTCTCAGTCTGGCCAACCTTAATGGGCCGTCCAGCATTATTGGAAACAGCCTGGTATGCATTCATGCTAAGTGGACCTGGCCCTTCTTTGGATGGGGCAGCCCTATTTGTGTGCAAGGCAAGCCCTCACCTTTACATGCTGGAAAGCATGTTCTGTGGAGATAACTGACATGAAACAAAAACACAGAAAGTACATCACACCCTAGTCAAACATGATGGTAATAGTCTAAAAGTGTATGGTTGCCTCAAGACCAGGAAGAGTTAGTATCATTCAAGAGACACTACAGTCACCGAAACAAGTTTAGCTAAATTAAGCAGTTGTGGTGTATCATACACCTGCAGTCTCACTGCTCAATTATCTGCCATTTGGGAGTTTTGTCACTTTCTTTATGCAGCCCTAGTCACACCTCCCTGCATGTGACTTACACAGCCTTCCTAAACACTTCCTGTAAAGAATCATGTAATGTTTACACTTCCACTAATTATATATTCTGTTTAATATATAATTTCTTATCTCCTGCTGATTCCAATAATGCTGGCCGGCACACTAGGGTTGGCCAGACTGAGAGTGCTGTGACAATTCTCTCTGTATGATTATATTGCCATCAGCGTAGAGAAAGCTATAGGGTTCTCTAAACTCTGGCCCTCCAGATTTTGCTAACCTACAATTCCCATGATTTTTTTAATGAAATAGAGAGCCAGAGAATCATGGGAGTTGTAGTTCAGCAACATCTGGAGAGTCAAAGTCTGGAGAACTCTGCGCTAGCACATCTAATCATGCGATCACACTAAACTCTCTAGGGTCAGTTCCCAGAGATCAACCCAGGGACAGCGGACACAACCCGAAATTGGGACAGTTGGAACTTGGAAGTCTTGACAGAATATTATCCCAGAAGTAGTGGGAGACATCAATGTGAGCACTGATGTTTCTCCTAGTTAGCTGTGGTTTGGGCCTTGGAGTACTCACATAAATAAAATTTTCGCTCCATCTCATTCATTTGTGAAATTCTGAATAATGACCATAGCTTAGAGGGACTGTGTTTTTCTGACTTCCTGGATGGGTCTCCACTGTGCCTTTGGAGACATTTTGGTAGAAATTAAAAATGGCTTAAAAGTGGCGTTGTAACTCTTTCCATACTGATATATTGCAACATTTCTTTTTTTTTTTCTCATGTCTCCTGTAATGCATTTTTATTGCTGCATACTGTGCTGTTTGTTGAGATATTGTAGCATATTTTGCTTTGCTTGTGAGGCCCTGTAAATCATATTTAAATTTAACTGGGCTGATATCCACCAAGCCTTGATATGTCTACTTGAATTGAATCTATGCATCAATTAAATTCAGGGCTGATTGAGTAACTCAGAGGTCAATTACTTTTTCAAAGGTGGCCAGTTGATGTTGAATAGCTTTGTCCCTTAAATTAAAACTGAAATGAAAAAACAGATTTTTGTGCTTTTTCGATTTCCTTTTGCCCTATTTTACACTTTGTGACAGTCTGGCATCATCCGGGATGACAAATATTTAACAGAGAAAAGCTGAAAGCTGGAATACTTTTTCAGAGAACTGTATGCCGTTGACTATATTTATTACCTGCTATGTGTTAAATGTGTATGTGTACGTGTATATATATATATATTTTGTATATTGTATTTTTTTTTTTTAATATTATATTGTACTCTATTGTAACTATGCAGTGTTTGTGGGGCCAGGACATACTTGAAAAAGAGGGAAATCTCAATGTGTCCTTCCTGGTAAAATAGTTTATAAATAAATACATATCAGTGCTCTCCGAAGTTAAGATAGAGCCGCAGACCTTTGAGAATCTTATCCTAATTGACCAAAACCTTTTAAAATATGTTGCCAAATATGACCTGGGAAGACGGGACTTCAATGAAGTATCCCTGGTGGCTAATATCTGTCCAGTGGACCTTTTAAATAAGGCCTTTTCATACGATATGGAAATATGAATTTGACAAAAATATAATCCCATTTCAAAACATGATTCAACAGCCACAATGTGACAGCACCCATAACGAATTGCATGAGGTAGTCGAGGAATATACTAAATCTGAACAGTTTAGAAAAGTATATAACATTCTGACAGTAAGCTGACAGTATGATTAACTTGTCTGAGTTGCAATTTGCAGGGATTAAAAAATAAAGGTATTTTCAGCAATAAGTTAAGACGGGTGATTCATTGATTCCATTCCACCAGTGTATTTTCACAGAAGCTGGGAGGTAGATGAGAGCAATGTGACTGTGTCTATGACTGGCAGTAACATGAGAACCGACATGAAAAATGTAGGCTAAAATAAATTGCGGGGAAAAAACCATAGAGGCTATATTTGAGATTTTATTTAACTAATTTGTTTCAGTGTATATTTTGCTAAACATCTTTTGGCTTTCTCTAAAAAACCAAAAAACGTCATTTTAGATTGCAAGTTCAATTGGGCAAGGCCCTCTTCACCTGCTGCTCTTGTATGTCAAACATGTCAAATATGTTTTGTTAGAATGAATTGCTTGTCCTTTGATTTACCTATTGCACTGCGCTGCAGAATATGTTGGCGTTATAGAAATAATTAGAATTGTAAAGTGTCCGTATTCCAGTTGTGATGCTGGTAAAGGTTTTGTGTTCTGACGAGACAAAAATAGAGCAATGTGTAGTGCAAAACTAACAAGGGGTTCACCATTAAACATGTAAAAAAATAAATAATCGAGATACTCTAAGGTTTTCTAATTTAAAAGTGAGAAGCTACATTTTCAGATTATATTCTGTTTGAGGTGTGTTTTTGGAGACAGTGGTAAAGGATAATTGGATATTTGCATATTGTGAATTGCATAATGTAAGCAAAACTAGTTAATTCTCCAACTCATCTATAGTCACAGCTTGGCTATTATAGACTATATCCTGATATTCGTTTTTTATTTCACTGGAATTTGCTGTATAGTGACAAAATCCATAGCGATTTTACCTTCTGACAAATTATTGAGAGGTAAAGTTGATGGAAGCATCATGTTGCTCAGATGCTTCTCAGCAGTAACATTTTGTGCGTGCTGTGAAAAGCATTTAAAGCCACCAACCACTAATTTATTTTTTTTTCTGTGCAATTTAATGCCCATTAATATATACATAAAATATCCTGAAAGTATAAATGAATATTTTGAAGGGGTTTTATTGCACTTGCTGTAATTCACATTCATAAACTATCTAACAGCGCTGTATATATCCATTATATCCATGGCAAACATAAAAAAATATCATTTTCTTTAGAACTTCACTTTATTTCCTTATAATTTTATTCCCATGTAAAACGTGGATGAATATCATTGAAAATAATCTAATACCTGAAAGCTCTGGTTGTGTGAAAGGTGGTTTTGTAGAAAATGATTAAGAATATAAAAGATGCTTTTAATCCATAATATTCGTCATGAAATAGAAATTGACTACTAAATATTCGGTTAATTATTCTTTTTGGTTTCCATCTGTACAGAAATGTGCTTATAGAAATTACAGTCTAATGGCATCCAATTAATGTGCAAATTGCCTGGGAGTCCAACATGTTTTACTAATAATAGGTTGCAAATGAGGCGGTAAAAGTGGATGGACATGCAAATACAGTGAGCAACACGAATATCATTGATGGTTTTATAGCTGGATATGCATACTGTGAGTGTAAGGGAATGTGACTATATGCTGATGGTGCGTGTACAAAAGGTTGGAGTGGTGGAATGTAGTATATAGCACTTAGAAGTAAGGAAATGTGTATCCCCTGGCTCTATAGCATGTAGATTATAATTGTGTTGTTAATACTGTCCAGCCATATTGATTTCACCTAGTGCAAAGTATGCAGGGTTATTGCAATGTCAAAACTGGTCTAACACAAACCTATGCAGAGGTGGGTCCCGGGCCTTAGAGATGGCCTCTCTAAGGCCCGGGACCCACCTCTGCATAGCTACCACCAGAGACAGATAACAAAATCTCTGAACGCAGACAAAGTATAAACAAATAACAAGCCAAGGTCAGATAACAGAAAGCAAGAATAGTTGGATAAGAATAGCCAAGCAAAATAGACAAATGTAAATTACTCACTCTCAGGTATACAGAAACCACAACAAGGCACAGATTGGTAATCAGAAAGGCCTTATAGAGGCTCAGGAGTACTGCAATTAGTTTGTATGACTCATGTTGTATGCTCCATATGGATTAGACGGCCTGGTCACCTAGGTACATGTCTCCCAGTCGCCATCTTCCCCTTAACGAGCTATATCATCACCTTTTTCCAACTCCAGCCCGTGCTTCCCAGCACTCTCTTTCCACGGTGCAAGAGCACTCACAGGCCAGCAAGGGAGCTGCTGAGGTACCCGCAACTCTCTCGAAACTCCTGACTGAGTCGCGGAGTTCCAGTGGTCAATTGAAACTTTACCAAGGGCGCACTCGGTCCCAGGACTATCAATCAAGACGCTTTCTGGAGGAGTAACAGAGGAGGTGGCGAGGTATCCAATTACACAAGGACTTGAGGGAGCTCCATGTACTGACGAAAAGCGCCATCGTTTAAGGTGACCGGGGACCTCTACTCAGTGCCATAGAACTCTGCGCTGGATAGGAGGCTAGCCGCGACCCGCTGATTGGCATGCCATCAAATTAGGATGTTCTCTCGGGACATATACCATGGCATTTCACCATGGTATGGCTTCTTCAGATCGTTCTCCATCTGGTTTCACAATCTTTTCTTACACTGCACTTATTCCCACCCTCCTCAAGTGTTGCAAGGCAACAATACACTGCACTCACAGAAGAATCTCCCATACTTAAAAACTAATCTAATCAAACCATTCTCCAGACCAATTAAAGGATAGGCGATAAGTCAATGGTTGTATGTATATGTAAGTATTACACTCCTATATTCAATAGGAGAAATAGTTGTGCAAATTAAAGACAAATATTTATATAACTGCAAATGAAAGAATATACAGTGAGTTAAAGAGATATGAACATACAGTAAAATATTAATTGTAATCAAAATCAATACATATTTAATATAAAATGCATGACATCTAAAATAATTATAATATAACCATAACATAAATATTAATAATGCAATAATATAAAATAATGATAATAATATAATTAATAATGATCCTCAATAATTAAATGCAATAAAATACATAATTTTTTTTTAAAATTAAAATTCAATATTTAAAGCATGTTTTTCTAATGTCTGACATAAATCAACCCAATTCATTACCTATATGGTCACCCACTCTCCAAGACCTCCTTGCAACCTGGATACCTAAAAAAGTTAATTCTGTAGGGTCCAATATTCTATGTAGGGTCCTATGTTTTTTATACATTTTTTAAATGAGCTGACATGCTGTGTTGATCGTATCCTTTAAAAATGTTTTTAACATGTTCATTTATTCTTTTGTACTTCTTATATACTATAAGTTGCACGGACATATCAAAAGATAAATTATATTACTTGTAAAACACATATTAAAATCATTAATTTAAAAAAAAAAAACTCCTTATCCCTATATTTAGACTTAGATTTTATGGATATCGTTCAACCTTTTATTTGTACTGAATTTACAACCATGACATTTACTACAGGAGTAGAAACCTTTCTTTTCACTTACTTTTTTTTTTTATTTCTTTTAAAACCTTGAGTTAAAATAGTTTTAAAATTAGGTGCCCCTCTAAAATGTTTCTCAGGGAAATAAACAATTGACTATCCTTATGTAATAGCCCTGTGTGTTTATAATTATCATTATTTTTCACAAATTCACCTTAAAATCAAATAACATTAGAATCTTTTTAGCAGATTGAACATCTTTTACATCATTCTTAGGTATAAATTAAATCACTTTGTTTAAATGCTTTCATTTCCAAATATTCAGAACATGTTTTTCTCTAAATTTATTAAAAAGTATTAAAAAAAAATTATCTTTAATAATGTATTTGTCCAGAAGGGTTCTGTTTGAGACATGATACCCAATACCGTTAGCTACTCCGTGGATGCTTATGGCATGCTTTAAGTTGTTATTATTTTGGTTTTCATTTTATTTTGTTTATTAAACTATGATAAAAATAAACATCTTACCGCACTCATATAGTCAGTGTAGGGTCAGGATTAATTGAAAAGGAAGATGACTTTGCCAAGAAAAGCAGGATAAGAATGTTCATCCTCCCTCCAGAATGTTCACTGCACTGACCTAATTGTTATCCGTATATTGGGAATCATTTGACTATGTCTGCATAATGTCTTGCCTGTCAACTGTCTTGTATTATGGCTGTCACCTTATTTTCAATATATATTTCGTAATCTAAAATGTTAAACTATTGGTACTTTATTGGCTTGTAATTAAATTCACCGATCATTATTGTTTAATTCAGCTATAAATTATTTAAATGGTTTACATGAGTATTCCAGATATTAAACAGGTCATCTATATAATAACGGTAGGTGACCAAGTTAACTTACCGTTCTTGGCTACCATATGTAAAAACATTCTCTCAACGCGACATAAACAAACAGGCATTTGAGATCAAACCTGGCCCCCCTAGCTGTCCCCTAAAGCTGTACATGTTTTTTCTCTCTTTTCTCTTTGTTACATATTACACAACGTCATCAATAGTTTTACATGATGCTTATTTTCTGTCCACAAATTGTTCTATGTGGAAAACCTGCCTGATGATGCCTACGTTAAATGATGTCTGGTCTCAACTGACTTATTCCACTGTATATGGTCATGTTTGCAGATCCAAACATTTTTGAACCAGATACAATTTTACAGAATCCCTTATCTCTTGCCTACCTTATCATCTATTTCCTACTATCATTTTCACACAAATCACTTCTCCAACATTTGGATCCATGTTATTACCGTATCACCATGCATTGGTTGGAGACATTACAAAATAAAGCTTCCTTTCCCCGTAAGTGATTTCAGTTATAAATACATGTATACATACTCAGAGGCATAACTAGAAACCATCAGCCCCTCCATGTGTCTCATTCACCCAACCCCAGTTCTTCCATGTGTCTTATTCTCCCTCTAACCCCCCACATGTGTCTCTCCACTCCCACATGTGTTTCTCCCACCTCCATGTGTCTCTCCCACCTTCTTAACCTCTTCATGTGTCTCTCGCAGCTCCTCCATGTGTCTCTCGCAACCCCTGCATGTGTCTCACCCTCCTCACAGCCCCTCCATGTTTCTCTCCCACACATGTTTGTGTAACGGAGCTCCCTGTACCCCAACTGGGTACCTCCGCCAAGGACTGCTTCTTAGCTGGAACAGAGGACAATTCGCAGAACTTCTGCCCACAGTCGCCGTGGCTTGACTGGGACCCTGGAACCGAATGGGGAATTAGCTCTAGTCCTTACAAGGACTTTCCCCGTTGAATTCCCTGCAAGCTGGAACAGCAGACACAGGAGTAAATCTTCTTCCCCTCCAATAACAGGACGACACACAACTTTGGAGTGTAAGCTGGAATAGCATTTTAATAGAGGCACACTGGCCTTTTATGCAAGTTTCCCAACAAGGGTGACACCCGGGTGGACCTTGTTAGGCACAGGGACACAAAGTGAACAAACCAATAAAAACAGTTATTCAGCGAGACACTCCCACACACAAACAATAGAATCCCTCCTCTGTGCTTGGGAGATAATTGAATCAGGAACTGTACTAATCTAAACCAATTATCTCCAAGCACAAAAAAAACCATGCAATTTTATGAAACCCCAAAAAGTACCTTAAAAACACATAAAAGTTACATCTCCTGATAGCCCCAATCTGAGTGAACAACATATCCAAAAATCACCCACATCGGTTCAGGGGTTCAGGAATTTCCTGAAAGTCATAGTTTTGACCGACCGTGCACATGGTCCTACACACTCACACTTACCGACACACACACACACAAGCTGACAGACATTCATACACTGACAGACACACACAAACAAACTGACAAACACACACACACGCACTCAAAGATTCTTGCACTCTCTCACAAATTAATTGAACTTTTTTGAGGTCCAGCCAGTCTCACTACCTTTGGGAGAGCTGGACTGGATCAGTGCTCCCTCGCCGCCTGCCTCCTGTCCTCTCCTCCGGTATATATCGGCAGACTAGGCACCTTTCATCCAGGTATGAAGGTGCCTACTCTGCCTCACTGGATAAGCGCTGATTTGGGGTGCCTTCCGGCGGCCGACGGTTGGAGGGGTTAACTTAATGGTCCTCTTTACCAGAAAACTAAATGAGCCTTACAAATTACCCCATGGTACAAGAATAGTCCTCCTGGGTAAAATGCCTATGCCATAGACAATTCTTTTATGTAGACAACCTCATGAAGAACCAGAAAAAGGAAAGTTCTGATATATATTAGGTCCTACAATAGCACTAGCTAATATCATGGTAAATGTTCTAAACAAACATTGACTGTGAATACATTAATCACTGATGGTCAATATACAACTTCTCAGGCTTCTGTGACTGATATTTGATGTCCAACGCTGTCTAAAGCTATTAAATCACATGAACACAGAGCATTGACCTCTTAAAATCAGTGTCAACTTGTCCAAGATCCAGTTCAGGGTGTCAAACTGCCAAATGCTAAAATCCTTTGACAAAATTGAAAGGTCCTTTATTTTATTTTTCCATATGCTGATGTAACGCTATTCTGTTCATTTCACCCTAAATTCACCTCCAGATACATTAAAAGCATCTAGGGAAAATACTGAAATAGATCTGAAAAAATCCATTTTTATAACCTGTATTACAGCAGCTGTCTCCGGAGAGTGGAAATCACTGCCAAAAAAAGGAACTAAATAACTGCTGGTTTAAGTACATTAACGCCACATTTGGCAAGGCTTTGAGTATTTCCATTGAACAATGCATTATTCTCTGCTAAACCTGATTCCTACACAACCTTGCCCTCGTAAGTACAGCTGT